AAATAAAAGGATCTGTTTAACTAAAAGTATATAATATATTCTGCATCTCATTTACATCTTATTATGTTAAAAGACAGACTAACATCAGCTAGTCTATGACTGTAACATCAAGGAGATGATATTCTTCTTTGTTTTAAAAAACCTTAGGTATTTCTTTTAAATTTCTGAATTTTCAAAGGCTTGCTATTATTTAAAATATTAGTTCCTATTTTATTGACTTATTAAATTTAATGGCTCTAAATTAACGTTTAATTAAATGATTCAAAAGGAATCATTGAAAGATGTGATCTGCACATTTTAAAAGAAATCTCACCTTCTATTTCTTTTCTCTTGGTTCTTAGAAAATAAAAAGTGGAACTATTTTTTACTTGTCCTCACTTAATAGATGGGAGTTGCCTGGATGACTCCAAACCCAGGAATGGAAACCTAGTTTCTTGTCAAGAGGATGGGGAGTTGCATGGTAGTTTACATGTTTCAAACCTCTGGTTCAGGAGTCTCCTGCTTTCTCTGAGTGTTTGATGTCTGCTTTCATTTACCTTCCTGAGGATGCTGCCCTTTCCATGTAGAATCAAGAAACTGGACACTGCCTGGCCGGCGTGGCTCCGCAGTTGAGCATGGACCTATGAACCAGAAGGTCACGGTTTGATTCCTGGTCAGGGCACATGCCTGGGTTGCGGACTCAATCCCCAGTGTGGGGTGTGCAGGAGGCAGCTGATCAATGATTCTTTCTCATCATTGATGTTTCTATCTCTTTCTCTCTTTCCCTTCCTCTCTGAAATCAATACAAATATATTTTAAAAAAATAAAGCTGGACACCCACCTGATTGTCCCTCCCCACTTTCATGTTCCTTCTTTCCCAAAGTTTTGCTGGATCCAGGCTGTGACCTGGTGAACGTAATGGGGAGTTTGGAAGGCAGGCGGGGGAAGGTTACAGTACATCCTATAGAGCAAACAGCTGGATTTATTTATCAGCTATCTCTATCTGTCAAGCATCTTTGCATTCCAGTCACTGGGGAATTTTCACTCTTTCTCACCTCTCCTGTTCCAGCTTCCAGCCACTGAGCAGGCCAGCTCATCTCCTCTGATCTCCCCCATCTCCTTGTTTCCCTCCTGCTCCAAGGCCCTGTTTACTTCTTTCACAGAACAGAACAGAACTGGGCTCTGCCTCTAGCTCCAGTTCATAAAGACATTGCTGGGCTGGGGTTATGGGATGTGCTTTAAGGTACACTCCTGTTCAGCACAATGTTCTTCCAGAGAGGAAATCTGTAGTCACAGATTTTGTGTCCTCTCCCTCCATTAGGTAGCAGTGTAGGCATTAAAGACTTATAATTTGACTGTGAGATAAAAGGGAGCAGTGAATAGTGATAATTTGGAAGACTTGTCAAAACCCAAACTCTGTAACAAGATCCAACCTTCTTCAGTTGTAGACAAACCGAGGCCTACAAGACTTGCTGTAGGTTATACAGCACTTTCAAGTGGAAGTTGGATACAAGAGTCTGGTCCAGGGCTGTTTCCATGATCTCATGAAACAACAACTAAATTTCTCAGAAGCCAAACAGCATTTCAACTCTGTATATTTAATTCTTGATTATGCTGCCAGCATAGGTCCCACAGGAAAGAATAGCAGGAGAGGCACACAGCCTAAATAATATTATCTCAGGTACTCTGGCATGTTTATTATTCATTTTTTAGTTCTCATGTATAATTAATTCTCTAATGTCTTGGCACGATGTTTATGTTATGGAGGGCAGTTTTCATGCTTTTACTAAAATCTTTTGCAGCCACCATCAGAGGTAAAATACCAAGCTGAAGCCTTCTTGTTCTAACAAGTGAATTACATTTATTTTATTATGTTCCTAAAAATCAAAGGGGAGGGGGAAGAGGAAGAGAGAGAAAAAGAAAGATGCTGTAGAAGGCAATGGAAAATGATCGAAGTCAGTCATTTGCTGAAATATGCCCAAAAAATGTACGCAATTTTCACTATCCACTAGTAGAAATGAAATATCTTCTAAAATAAATTAGGTTCCTAATGCTTATGTCTTAAATTTGCTGTAACAGATACCTAAAGAAACTGTTTATAAATGTTAAGAAAATATGAGTAATAAACCTGAGAGCTGGATTTGACTGAAATTACTAACTGAAACAAGCTTTCAAGATAAACAGAAAATGTATCCAGACCAGTTCTGTTCACAGGAAGGAAGAAAGCCTCCTCAGGAGAATTCAGACATTTAGCAACAAACTTGGCTGTAAACATTTGTCCAAACAGTCAACAGGACAAAGAAAATGCTCCTGGGAGAAAATAACCAGATCTTAGAGTCCTGGGCTTTGAAGTTGGAAATATTTCCCCAGAAATGCTACATTCTTCTTTCTCTCCCACCGCAGTGGATCACAAAGTAAATTATCATTTGTTCCCTCGTTTTGTTATCCTGCCCAAAATATACACTCACTGATAAAGCCCAACAATGATTCATTACACACCATCATCCCAAGGTTTCCAGTATAAATTCCATATTAAATGAGCCTCTTCTGTTTTATTAATGCTTAACAGTCATTTAATAGCAACGATAGTGCCAATGCATTTTACCGTATCTTACCATTAAAACCCAGATGTTTCTGTATGAAGCAAAGGCCCCAGGGTCTTCTCCTCTAGTCTCATTTTCTTAGCAGTGGCTGAGCTGAGATTCATTTAGAAGCAGAAATAATGGGATGTAAACATTCTTTTCATATTTCTCCTTTTCTCTACAGATCAATTCCAACTTCTTTATCCCTCCACTCTTCAGTGATGAAGAAAGAAAATGACGAAAAAGGAAGACACAGAAAGTGGAGAAAATTCTGGTGAATTGAAATTTAGATTGAGAACTTGCATTTATGTTTAACATGGAGTGAACAAACAAATGCATTAAAGTGATACACAGCTTAATTTCCTGGTATTTCATGTATAACTACACACGTGTTCCTTTCCTGAAGCTCTACTCTTCCCCAGAGCCTTCATCCAAAGAATTAATTCATTTACCAGTCAAGGAACGGGGTTGACTATGGCTGCTACAAGTCCTAGCACATGCAGCTCCAGCAACACCATTCACCTGTAGTCCAGCTTCCTCTGCCTCTGGCCTGAGATCACCTTCCTTACTTTGTAGTCTTATTCACTACAGCTGGAATTTTATACTTGCCATAATGGGCTTCTTAAAATCCTTCCAATGCATTTTTGTGGCATCAGTTCTTATCTTCAACATGCAGCTGATTACAGATGGATTTGTTTACATGGTCACCTCCCTCTCAGAATGTAGGCTCCTCTGATTGAACTTTGTATGCCCACTACCTACATTGGGCCTAAAGCATAGTAGGGTTTAGTAGGCAAAATCAATC